TTTATGCTCAAACAGCAACATTACAGACTAACTAAAGTTGAAAAAGTGAAAAAGCATAATAGCACCCCTTTAAAAAACAAAAATGACCAACAAACAAAATTACTAAAACCTTAACTTGAATTAAAATTTTTTTTTTTTTAAATAAAACTAAATTCAACAAGTTAGCTAGAACTATAATAGAAACTATATAGAACTAAAAAAAAAAAAAAAAAAAAAAACATTACTAAGAGCTAAGTACTAAAAAATTAAAAATTACTAAGAAGTATATAGACAAAAAAGGATACATAATGACAGAAATGACAAAAACACAGCAAAATTACTAAACCTTTAACTAAAATGTAAATAAAAACGGGAAATATAAAAAAATGAGTTCAAAATGTTGATATTAACTATAATAGTATATCAGTGATACTAAATTAACACAGTTTAGAACGCTTGCCATGTACAGAATCATGTATCATGCAGGCCCATTTGTGCAATTAATTCTTCAATTGATAGACCAAGTGTTTAATGTTCCTGGAAATTGCTAGAAATATGTATTAGCACAAATATAATTTAAATATATATTTCATAATTCTCATAATGATTGTTTACTGTAGGAAAGATGAAACATGGTCTTGACAGTTATGGAATATCCTTTTTTTTATCAGTACAAACACAAATGAAAATGAGGGAAAACAAGCAAAAATGAAAGGTGTCATGTATGTAATAGCCAATACTTTAAACTAGTAGATTATCTATGTGTCACGGCTGTGCTGGAGGGAAGGAGCACAGAAGACGCGGAGAAGCTTTACATGGTCTTTTAATGAACAATCACAGAGGTAAATCCACAACAGGAACGAGGAATGACACACGAACAAAACCAGTAGACCCGACAAACACTAACTGCACAGACTGGGGCTTATAAACACAGGATAACGAGGGACTAATCGAGGGGACTAAGGAGACACACCTGGAGTCAAATTAACACAATCAATAAGAGGGAGAAACTGGGTCACGGGGAGCAAAACACACACAAACAGTCGACGGGCCGAGGCAGAGTCCGGGGCTTAAAGGCTGGAGGTGGAGTCAAGGGATACTCCAGCCACGATGACGCTGGAGGATGGCAGTCCCGTGGAGCTCGCACCGTGCTGATGGTGGGCTGAGGGCCTCCGGGCTTAACTTGGGACAGATGATGAACGGGGATCCGTGTCTCGCCAGTGTCCACTCCACAAATGCGGCGAAATTCGCTCGACGGCCTTCCTCGGACGACGGTGTTCTGTACGCGGAGTTTAAACTAGTGTCATAGAACTCACAGAGCGTGTCGTCCGGGTAGCTGGAGATGTTAGCGAGCACCAGGAACAGTCTGGTGTGGCCCTCGAGCAATCTCTCCCCCTGCTCCAGCAGGAGGAGGTGGTATTCCGGACGAAGGAGGGGATCCATGGACACAACGGAACAAAAAACACTGAGGAAAAAAATGGAAACAAAAACGGAGGGAACACACAGAGGTTACTGTTTCTAGGTCGGGTCTTCTGTCACGACTCTGCATTTAATGAACAATCACAGAGGTAAATCCACAACAGGAACGAGGAATGACACACGAACATAACCAGTAGACCAGGGGTGTCCAAACTCGGTCCTGGAGGGCTGGTGTCCTGTAGATTTTAGCTCCAACCCTAATCAAACACACCTGAACCAGCTAATCAAGCTCTTACTAGGCTTGCTAGAAACTTCCAGGCAGGCGTTTTGGAGCTGGTTGGAGCTAAACTCTGCAGGACACTGGCCCTCCAGGACCGAGTTTGGACACCCCTGCAGTAGACCCAACAAACACTAGATGCACGGACTGGGGCTTATAAACACAGGATAATGAGGGACTAATCGAGGGGACTAAGGAAACACACCTGGAATCAAATTAACACAATCAACAAGAGGGAGAATAGAACGCACATAGCGTGTCGTCCGGGTAGCTGGTGCTGTTAGCTAGCAGCTGGAACAGTCTAGTATGGTCCTCGAGTGATCTCTCCCCCTGCTCCAGCAGGAGGAGGAGATATTGAGGACGAAGGAGGGGATCCATGGACACAACGGAAACAAAAAACACTGGGGAAAAAAAACAAACAAAAACGGAGGGAACTAATGGAGGTAACTGTTTTGGTCGGGTCTTCTGTCACGATTCGCTGCCGGAAGGAACGCCGGAGATGCGTTAAACCGTCCTTTAATGAGCAAACACGGGGTAAATCCACAACAGGAACGAGGAATGACACACGAAAATAACCGGTAGACCCGACAAAACCTAACTGAATGGACTGGGGCTTTTAAACACAGGAATCGAGGGAACTAAGGAGACACACCTGGAATCAAATTAACACAATTAACAAGAGGGAGAAACTGGGTCACGGGGAGCAAAACACACACAAACAGTCCATGGGCGTGACACTATGTAATTGCCCAACTATTTTCTGTAAAAAGGCAGCTCAGTCCTGACACCCAGCTTAGACCTTCTGTTCTCAACTGAACTTCTTTGAGAAGCTGTGACAAATTGGATATTTTCTGATAATGAAATACTAAATTGATCAGTAACCATTTGCTGCAATTTCATCTAGTGATGTCTGATTCAAGAGTAGCTTTGTACTGATTCATTTTAACCAGTTTGGAAGTCAAACTAAGTTTCATTCTTGAGTTATTGACTGAATTCAATCTTTTGAATGAGTTGAATTGATTAGTTGAGTGAATGATTTGCTGAGTCAGTAGACATCATGCTGGGTGATGTTTCACCTGAAAGCTGATCCCATAACCTGTACAGAAGATTTGTTGTGGAAATGGGACAAAAAGGTTAATAGCAAATATTATTCAACAAGAACCAATAAGCAAAAGATGGATGATATCATATTGTGTTGATTTTTGGATTTTTTTTGTTGATGGCAGTTTTTTATATTATTTGAACTGATTTAGTATTGATTTTCAAGTTTACATTCCAGAATTATTTTATTAGTTCCATTGAGTTCCACAATTAAGGGCCCTCATAATATGTATTGTGTGTTACTTAAACTGCAAGTAAAGTGAAATAAAAGTAAGAATGAAAGTGTTTGATGTTGGCAACAGCTATAACCATGTTATTCTGCATTGGTATCCAAAACTTGGCATCTCTTGAAGAATGACTGTGCTTTAGCCACGTAATGGTCATCCAGCTGACCATCTAACAGCAAGAAATCCCATTTTAAAGTGCACCAGTGCTATAGTCAACACTTTTAACACCTGCCAAGCATGTTACCTGTTACCATGTAGCTTTCGAGAGTGACGAGTTTATTAACTGTTTTATCTGCTGTGCTGCACTCATCTCCCTACGGAGAGGTGCAGGGAAAGTCTGTTTTTCTAGTCAAGATATTCATTTGTCTGGGACTCAGATCTCTGTTGTTTTGTTTTCTCGTTTATTTCAGCGGTTTTAATAAGATGTAAATTTAGTCAGGTTTTTGTCATTTTCCTGTGCTCCTCTTGAAAAATGAATTAAACACACACACACACACACACACATATACAGTGGGTATAGAAAAGAATCACCCCCCTTTAAAATAATCACATTTTTTTGGCTTTGCAGCCTGAAATGAAGACGGACACCATTTTTGTTTTATCCGGCTGTATTTAACTGTATTAACATCCAAGTGAAAGATAGAACACCAACATGTCAGGGAAAAAAAAAAAACTGAATCACTGAATTGGAAAAAGGATAACCTCCCTTCTAAAAATGACTTGTAAACTTAATCAGGTTTAGCTAATCACCTTCTCAATGGCACACAAAGCCATTTGACTTTCAACTGTGATCAGCTGTGGTCATTTTGATTATCTCAGCATGAAAAGAGCTTTCCTGGAGTGTTTCAGTCCTTGGTAGTGCAAATGAAGCAAACAATCAACTATGGTTAGCAAGGCACTGTCAAAAGATCTCCGGGATGAAGTTGTGGACAGGCACAAGTCAGGAGATGGATACAAAAAAAATGTCAAAGGCTTTATCAATGCCTACGAGCACAGTGACATCTCTTATTAAGAAGTGGAAGGTATTTGATACAACACAGACCCTCCCTGGATCAGGACGTCGCTTCACACTTAAACAAAGAGGTGAACGTGCCTTTGCCGTCGTGGGTCCTAAACTCTGGAACAGGTTACCAGCTCATATTAGACCTGCTCCTACAATACAGATCATCTCCAGTTGGTCCAAAATGCGTCAGCAAGACTTTTATTGGGCCTCCGTAAATCCACTCACATTACACCTGCATTAGCATCATTGCATTGGCTGCCTGTCCTGTTTAGAATGAGTTCAAAACCCTAGTTTTTGTTTTTAAGTCCCTAAACAACTTAGCCCCCTCATTATCTGCACTTCTATCTCTACAAAACCCTTCTCGAGCTCTTCGATCCGGTAGTCATAGATTGCTCAATGTTCCCAGATCCAGACTTAAACAAAGAGGTGAACGTGCCTTTGCTGTCACGGGTCCTAAACTCTGGAACAGTTTACCAGTTCATATTAGATCTGCTCCTACAATACATATTTTTAAATCTTTGCTTAAAACTCATTATTTTTCCATTGCTTTTAATGTCCCTTGATGATTAATTTTTGTATTTGACTTCTGTTGGTGTTCCGATTTTCTTTTGATATCTTGTTGATAAATTATCTGTGATAGTATTTTTCTATTGTTTTGCTTGTATTTATCTTATTTGATGCTGTAAAGCACATTGGTCAGCTGCTGCTGTTTTAATGGTGCTATATAAATATAT